CAGAGGTCAGAAGAGGATGTTGTATCCCCTGAAGCTGGAGTTATAGACAGTTGTGGGATGCTGTGTGGGTTCTGGGAACTGAACCTGGGTCCTCTGGATGAGCAGCCAATGCTGTTGACTGCTGAGCCATCTCTCTAGCCCCTCAGAATTTTTCTGTTAGTTACTGACATGAAACCCTTTACTGACTTTCTATTGATTATGCTGATTCTCAACTATTCATATAATACTAATGGTGTTGTGGTAATGATATGAACTATGGTGGTTATCACAGAAAATGGCAGGAATAAGGAATGGAAATTTAGAAAATGTTTTTTTCTGGGCAGTAGTGGTGCACACCTTTAATCCCAGCACTTGGGAGGCAGAAGCAGGTGGATCTCTGTCAGTTGGAGGCCAGCCTGGTCTACAGAGTGAGTTCTAGGACAGCTAAGGCTACACAGAGAAACCCTGTCTCAAAAAGAAAAAAAAAAAATCTTTTTCTGTATTTTCATGTGTACACTTAAAAGTTTAGGTAATTTGTTATGTGTTAGCTATAGTTAGTTAAAACTAATAAACACATTGAGAAGCCATGACTTGTTCTCACTTTTATTTTTTGAAAGTTCATAATATTGTTGTGATTTTTATATTGCATTCATTCTAGTAATCATATTTTTGTTGCACATTCAGAAACATTTATTCCAATTTAGATAGTAGTGTTGTGCATGTTTTGAGGTTATAAAGAAAAGTTTCCATCCCTTCACATGAATTGCTCATAGTTTAACTTAGAAATGGAAACATAGGCAAGTTGACAGTTCTTGGGCAAGAGAGGCAGGATGGATATTGTGAAAGGTCTTTGAGCTATTTTAAAAAGTGAACGGTGGTTTGGAGAAATGGCTCGGTGGTTAAGAGCACCAGCTGCTCTTGCAGAGCATGTAGGTTGGGTTTGCTGCACTCAAATGGTAGCTCACAACTGCCTGTAACTCCAGTTTCAGAGGATCTACTGCCCCCTTCTGGCCTCTTAAGGCACTGTATGCACATGGTGCATATACAGGAACATAGGCTTATACACATGCTTATTTTCTTTTAAGTGAATAGGTTTCTGTCTATACATATGATGAGATTAAAATAAATTCTCTAGGCAGATGTCAGAAGGCATTCTAATCATGGAGAACCTGGTGAGCAAGCAGTAGAAAACTATGACTAGTCTGGTATGTTCAGGTGAGTTCAGTGTGTTGAGAGAGTAGTGAGTGAATGGGATTATAGTAGGAAAGTAGTGAGGGCTATCACAGACCAATCCCAAAAAGGGTTTGTTTATTATCTGTTTTGTCTTTTACATTCATTTATTTATTTATTTATTTATTTATTTATTTATTTATTTATTTATTTATTTAGCATGCCGTGGGTGGGGAATGTACCTGGAATGTATGTAGGGGCCAGAGAACAGCTCTCAGTTGGTTCTCTCTCCTCAATGAGTCCTGGAGATCAAACTCAGAGAGAGCGTTAGAGCTCAAATTCCAGTGACCTGGAGTTACCCAGAGAGTTGCCTACGTGACATATAGATTCATAGCTTTGCTCAGATTCTCAAAAGGATAAGCACCCATTCAATATAAAAAGGAGGCTAAGAAGCCATGCCAATAAGGAAAGTAGAAAAAATACAGAGAAAGTCATGCTTTGGACCCCAAGGAATGTAAAGTTGTGGCTGCTGCTACAGAGAGGTCAGATGAGCTGAGGACAGAAGACTCGATTGGTTTGGTAGTCAGATTGTAAAGTGAAGTTAAATGCGTATGTGTTTCAGCCTCACCCAGACCATGGTTTCTGAGAATTGTAAGAAGTATTGGAGTGACCAACAATGAAGGTCAGCCAAGTGTTTAGTTTGCCCACAATTACTTGTTGGCATTAGCATTATAATTTTAATCTCAATTCAACATTCTCAACTGCAAACTGGAAAAATCCATCTCTTAATTTTTTTTATGCTTTATTACAAATCACAGCTTTTGCTTTCATACACAAAAGCAAATGTTCCATACACACACACAAAATTGTCATTCTTTGACAGTAGTCTTTTCTGCTTTCTCTGTTCTCTTTTCAAATTATCTGACCCATACTGATTTCCGCCTTTCTGTTTTAGTAATACTGGTTATGTTATTTTGGCATTTACATTGAATTGCCTTCTGTTGATATTTATTTCACATATTGCCTTATTTATTTATTTACTTCACATATACATCATAGGTATGATAAAAGCCAAAAAGCTTTTCGGCTTTAATTTTGAATTATAGGCTATTGAATTAATTAAATTTGCCTTATAAATCAGTGGTTTTTATAAAGTAATCTTATTTTTCAAAAATTGAAATCTTTTTTAGATTTTTAAAAATGAAATATGCTGGCCTGGCAGCGGTGGCACACGTCTTTAATCCCAGCACTAGGAAGGCAGAGCAAGGGGGATCTCTAAATGAATTCGCTGTCAGCCTGGTCTACAGAGCGAGATCCAGGAAAGGCACCAAAACTACATGGAGAAACCCTATCTCAAAAAGAAAAAAGAAAAAGAAAAAGAAATATGCTTATCAAAGACTATAAACCAGAAATTAAATATTAATATTTCCAAACTGTTTTGTCGAAATCAATCTTATTTTCAAAGTGTATTTTCTGTACAGAAATAGATTAGTTACCAATGTGGTTACTATATAAGCCTCAGTCATTTTAAATACAAGTGACTTATCCAAGATTAACTTGGGAAGTGAACATTAATGATGTTTCGTTTCATTCGGGTGGTAATTTAATCATGCAGCCTGTAGCTAGCACTTGTCTTTATCGTTCTCTGCAGTAAAAGGACCAGTGCTGTGCTGCCGCCTTCTGGTATCAAAGGTCAAAACTTAAGAATTATGGGGAATAGATGAGCTCAGACAATGCCAGTTGGATCTCATATCTACTTTTGTGTAAGTAGATCTGGTACCAACAGTCCCAAATTATCATTACCTGACTGAAGGAAGAAATTTTACGCCTTAGGCCCAATTTGGCACACTTGGTGTATAACTAGGCTTTCTATTTCTCCTCTCTGGAATGACCATATATACATACATACATACATGTATTATATGCATATAGTTTGGGTACTCCATATCCTCAGATCATAATTAAACACATTTTAACAGAAAAAAAAAACAAACATTTTAAACAGTTTTCAAAATGAGTTTTTAATTCATAGGAATTACTGATGGATGAATAGGACATAATAAAACATTAAGGTACTGATAATGAGGATAAAATTAGCTCACCTGTGGATGTACAATTATTCTTGAACTGAATTTGTACTTTAGCAATATGCCAAAGACTCTAGTCTTGTCATTCAGGACTAAGTCATTTGTCCTGAAGTCATGGGATTATAACTTTGTGTAATGCTTGTCTGGCTTGAGTGTGTCAGGCCCAGAGTTTGAGCTCTAGTATTGTGTGTGTATTGGGCAGAGGGGTGATTAATAGATACTAAAACAATTATTATGTCCATTCTTGATTAATATTAAAATTACTCAAATTTTCATAGGCAAATTTATTGCAATAAGTAATGTTTTTATTAATATCCACAAATTAAGAAAGCAACAGGCCAACAAGATGGCTTTAGTGCATAGAGGCACCTGCCACCAAGCTGGAGCACCTGAATTTCATCCTTGGGACCCACCTGGTGGAAGGAGAGAACCAACTCTTGCATGTTGTCCTCAACTTGCATACATGTATTATGGTGTATACATGTGGACCCATGACAGTATACACATATATACAAATAGATGTCATGTAAAAAAAATGAAAAACAACAAATGATGCTTAATCACCTTGATACTTATTTTTTAATTCTATGTGTATTGGTGTTTTGCCTGTATGTATGTCTGTGTGAGGATGTCAGATCCCCTAGAACTAGAGTTACAGGCAGTTGTGAACTGCCTTGTGGGTGCTGGGAATTGAACCTGGATCCTCTGGAGGAGCAGGCAGTGCTCTTAACCACTGAGCCATCTCTCCAGCCCCCAAATTTTGATATTTCTGAGCTAACATTACCTTAGGGCCTGTGGATATGTGCTAGCTACTCTAAAATAAAAAAGTGGTTACTGAAAGACATCCCTTCAGAATTTTCTCCTGTACACGAACTGCCTTTTACATTAGGCCCTTAGCAGCAGTATCTGCTGACGTCACTGTGTGTAAAGAAATTTCAGAAACCATGGGGGCCAATAACATTCTAGGTGATAAAAAGTGAATCTTTGCTGTCCTTTATGCCTCCTACTTAAGCTACTCATAGGTTTCTCTAAATGAAGTCAGTGTTTATTAAAATATTAATGTCTGGTAATAATATAATGTGAGCTGCAGTGTCACTTTTATTCTTGGGAACCACATACAAAGTAGTAATTGGTTTCAATAATATATTTAATTCAATATCTGTAAAATATTTAACATACAGTCATTTTTAAAGGTAAAGATATTTTACACCCCCCCCCCCATTCTTGCCATTCAATGTAGTATTTATGCACAAAGTATATCATTTGAGAGTAGCTACATTTCAGGTTCTCGGTAGCTACATGTGGCCAGCTGACTTTTTTTATCCAGTTTATCTTTAGAACATCTAAGGGATGTGTGGCCATGACATTGAGGGTATAAATTCCCACATGTCCAGTGAACATTATTAACTTATAGCCCTTCGAGATTGCCTGCAACTATGCTGGCCATGAGCCACTAGCCTAATGTTTGCATTGGGACCACCTATTTCCATGAACAAGGTAAATACTTTTTTGTTTGACCTAATACTATTTAGTAAAACAATCAGGTTTCAGTGCCTTTATGTTTCCCTAGATAGGGCTTTTTGGCCTGTTGTCAAATGTCACATCTCACTAAATAGTGTGTTTCTGATGACATACAAAAGTTGTTTGTCTGACTTATACTTTACTGTTAGAAATTTGTGGCTCTTCACACATTTTGAATTATTAAGAGAAATGCCATTTTAGAGACTGTCATAATCTGATTTGTATTTTCTTTCCTATTTGAAGGGTGTGGAATATTATCTTGTAAAATGGAAAGGATGGCCAGAGTCTACAAATACTTGGGAGCCCTTGAGAAACCTCAAGTGTCCACGGCTGCTGCAGCAGTTCTGCAGTGACAAGAGTAGTTACTTATCTCGGTTAAAGAAAGGCAAGGCAGTCACTCCAAAAAACAGTAGCAAGCCCTTGCCACATGCTGTCGCTGAGTACATTGTAAATAAAGCCAAGCAAAGAATAGCTCTGCGGAGATGGCAAGATTACCTCAACAGAAGAAAGAACCACAAAGCAATGATATTTGTTGAAAATACCGTTGACTTGGAGGGCCCGCCTTCAGACTTCTACTATATTAATGAATACAGGCCAGCTCCAGGAATCATCTTAAACAATGAAGCTACCTTTGGATGTTCATGTACAGACTGCTTCTTTGAAAAGTGTTGTCCTGTTGAAGCTGGAGTTGTTTTGGCTTATAATAAAAACCAACAAATTAAAATCAAACCTGGCACTCCCATCTACGAATGCAACTCAAGGTGCCTATGTGGACCTGATTGTCCCAATAGGATTGTACAAAAAGGCACACAATATTCACTGTGCATCTTTAGAACTAGCAATGGTTGTGGCTGGGGTGTAAAAACCCTTGTGAAGATTAAAAAAATGAGTTTTGTCATGGAATATGTTGGAGAGGTACATTAAATTCATCCTATGCATATGAACTTTATACTCTCGAAAAGTTACTTTTCTACCTCAAAATATATACTTGATATATTTTGATGTTATCATTTGCAGATAAGTAGAAATTCATTTTCAGGTTTAGGAGATTCACTGACATAGTTAGAAATATAAAACTTTATGTGAGCAAATAGATAATAAATTAACTTAATAGTTGGCATTCCTCATAGCCATTGACCAAAGCATATTTTTTATTAAAAAAATATACACACACATATATATTTGGTCTTTTGAGACAGGGTTTCTCTGTGTAGCCCTAGGTGTCCTGGAACTTGCTCTGTAGACCAGGCTGGCCTTGAGCTCAGTGATCCGCCTGCCTCTGCCTCTGGAGTGCAGAGTGCTGGGATTAAAGGCATGCACCACCACCACCACCTTGTGCCCATATTTTTTAAGCATAACTATATTTACACAAATGTCCGAAGAAGGAAATCAGGCCTACCTACATACATGCTGACATTGAAACTTTGAAGTTACATTTATTTTATTATTTGGTCCAATATGATTAAAGTTCTTTTTCTAAAATTTTGTATCAATATGAAGGACATTACTGAGTAGAAAATGTTTGAGTGTTGTCAGATGTGTACAAAAGCATTTACTATATCTAAAAAACACTACCCTAAACTCCAGCCACTTTGAACTGCAGATAATTCTCTAATTACCAAATACTAGCATATTTACTTTGATAATTATCATATGCATAAGTATCAAAATAGTGCTCATCATGGGCCACAGCTAAGCACCTTAGTATATTAACCCCCAATCTTCAACTTTGTGAAAGAGGAGTTATCTCCACTACTATGAATGAAGAATCTGAGGCACAGAGATTTTTAGCTTACAACAGCAGCCAGATTTAGTTGATAATATATATTACTTTGACTACTGTCGGTGTCTTCAGCGAACTAATAATCAAGCTGTAATTTTTTAAGATTTACTTATTTATTGTGTATACAGTGTTCTGTCTGCCTGAACGCCAGAAGGAGGTGCCAGATCTCATTACAGATGGCTGTGAGCTGCCATGTGGTTGTTGGGACTTGAACTCAGGACCTCTGGAAGAGCAGTCAGTGCTCTTAACCTCTGAGCCATCTCTCCAGCCCTAAAGCTGTAATCTTAAGATTAGCAGAACTGCAGATAATACTGTGACAGATCCTGTGGTAATAGGGATGGAACCTAGCAAGTGCCTGGTGCTCTACTGCGGAGTTAGAGTCTCTAGCCCTGGGCGATGATTTTGAGTTGAAGCATTTCCTGAATATCTTCTGAAAAACAAAGCTTTTCCATTGGTTCATTGCATATTTAGCATAAAGTCTCTGTTATATAACCAGTTTCCATTTGTTATTACTCATAGATAGGAACAATATGCCTTCAGAACAGTGGTTATCTACCTGTGGGTCATGACCCTTTGGGGTCGAATAACCCTTTCACAGGGATCACATAGCAGATATTTACACTACGACTCATAGCTGTAGCAAAATTACAGTTATGAAGTAACAATGAAAATAATTTTATAGTTGGGGTTGATTGTAGCTGGAGAGTTTTCTCTTCGGGTCCCGCCAAGCCCCGGCAGTCCAATAGCCCACTTATAAAATAAACACAGAGACACTTATATTATTTAAACTGTTTGGCCTAATGGCTCAGGCTTCTAGCTATCTAGTTCTTACATCTTAAATTAATCCATTTCTGTAAATCTATACCTTGCCACATGGCTCGTGACTTACCGGCATCTTCACATGCTGCTTGTCATGGCGACGGCTGGCAGTGTCTCCCTCCGCCTTCCTGTTCTCTCAATTCTCCTCTCTGTTAGTCCTGCCTATACTTCCTGACTGGCTACTGGCCAATCAGTGTTTTATATATTGATCAATCAGAGCAACACATTTGACATACAGACTACCATCCCACAGAGGTGACCACGGCATAAGGAACTGTATTAAAGGGTCACAGCATCAGGAAGGTTGAGAACTATTGATTTAGAGGATATTGAGAGTGCATCCTCTTGTAAAGGTAGTCTTCTGTTCATCTCTGTCCTGTAGAGCATTCATCTTGTGGGTAGCTTCTTGCACGGCCTGATTATAATGAAGGTAGTACCGTATTTCAGCTTAGCTCAAAGTTCATTTTTAGTCTTTAATCCTACTTTCCCTCGTTTTTATATTTTTTTCTATCTAGCTTTTAGTTTGTATGAATGTTTGTTTTAATGACACTTAAATTTCTTTTAAAATGTTTGTAGGTATGTTAATAGCTTAATGATGTTTCTTTGATTCCACAGTAGCTCCATACTGTTCTGTGGTTCTGCAGAACACCATGTCACCTGTAGCCCCATTACGCAAGAGGCTGAGGTAGAAAGACCTGTGGAGTCCAGAAGTTTGAGAGATTCTATCACAAAAAGAAAAGCCTATAAAACTATAGTTCTGTTGTTGTTGTTGTTTTTATCTCCTTAGGTAATCACAAGTGAAGAGGCTGAAAAGCGTGGACGGTTATATGACAACCAAGGAATCACATATCTTTTTGATCTGGACTATGAATCTGATGAATTCACAGTGGATGCAGCTCGATATGGAAATGTGTCTCATTTTGTGAATCACAGTGTAAGGAACACTTATAGATAAGATAAATTACTTAGTGCTGTTTGGATGACTTTTCCTTAATTGAAAGATAATCTTTTTTTTTTTTTCCGGTTTTTTGAGACAGGGTTTCTCTGTGTAGCTTTGCGCCTTTCCTGGAACTCACTTGGTAGTCCAGGCTGGCCTCGAACTCACAGAGATCCGCCTGGCTCTGCCTCCCAAGTGCTGGGATTAAAGGCGTGCGCCACCACCGCCCGGCTGAAAGATAATCTTTTTATACAGCCATTCTCATTGTATTTTAATATAAGGGCTGCTCCTGTTAAGTCAGGGCATTATTGCTGTAATATGAACATACATATTGAGGTGTTTAACATTTACTGTGTTCTACCACAGTCTTTATATCTCATTTCATTTAAGCTTTCCAATAACTTTATAGGGTAGATAGATAACTTCATAGCAGAAGAGGGGAGTTATTAAGCAAGGGAGTTAAGTAAAAGTTTTAAGAATCTCAACAAAGTTGTCTTATAGAAGTTAATACTACTAAATTTCACAGTGTGTGGTAACCCTTTACCTCATCCACATTTTATTCTTCATAGTCTGTTACCTAGTTAGCTATAGTCCAAAAATACCCAGTGGGAATTTCTAGAAATAAATCATCCTTAGTTTTAAGTTGTTTGCTATTCTGATTAGTAGCTGAAGTCTCCGGCTGGAGATGTGACCCATCCTTTTGTCCAGTTTTTCTACACTGTGTATGCTACTTATCAGTCACTTAGTGGCTCTCTGGGTTATCAGCAACCATCATAGTATTTCTTGTGTTCAGGTGACCTTATTTTACTCAGCAATTGTCCAGATCCACAAGATTAGTAATGCTAGCAGTTTGGATTTGCCAAAGTGTTTCCTTTAAGCCACAAGGTGAAAGTACAATAAGATATTTTCATAGAGCTAGACCACTCATATAACTGAAATTGTTTAGTTGTTGTTAATCTTTTACTGTGTCTGAATTAACAGTAACGTATCATAAGCATATATGTATAGGACAAACCCCTAGCAATATAGAGTTTGGTACTATTGCCAGTTTCAGGCATCTACTGAGGATCTTGAATTATACTCCCACGGATATGGGTGGACTACTGTATAGCTTAAGGTAACAGGATTGTTTTTTGTTTTGTTTTGAATGTCAGTGTGTTAACATTTTTAAATAAAATTTAAGGATTTTTTGAGCATTCAAGCATTTAGGACTATTTCCCTAAATTAGTATTCTTTAGTTTTTAGTTTATGTTTGAAAAAGTTAGATCTGCAGTCTTTTTTTAAATATTTATTTATTATGTATATAGTGTTCTGCTTGCATCCTACGTGCCAGAAAGGGACACCAGATCTCATTACAGATAGTTGCAAGCCACCATGTGGTTGCTGGGAATTTAACTCAGGACCTCTGAAAGAACAGCCAGTGCTCCTAACCTCTGAGCCCCAGTCTTTTTTTAAAGATTTTATTTGTGTATGTGTGTACATGTGTGCACAGGTGCCTGTGAAGGCCAGAGGGCAGGCATCAGACCCCCTAGAGCTAGAGTTACAAGTGTTTATAACACCTGGGGGTGCTCAACTAAACTCAGGTCCTCTGCAAGAGCAACAAGTGCTCTTAATTGCTGAGCCATCTGGCCAGACCCTTAGGACCACAATTCCAGAATCTTCTACTTTATAAAACTTGTTTCCGGGCTGGAGAGATGGCTCAGAGGTTAAGAGCACTGGCAGCTCTTCCCGAGGTCCTGAGTTCAATTCTCAGCAACCACATGGTGGCTCACAACCATCTGTAATTTGATCTGGTCCCCTCTTCTGGTGTGTAGGCAGAATACTGTGTACATAATAAATAAATAAATCTTTTTAAATAAATAAATAAATAAATAAATAAAAAACTTGTTTCCAAAAACTAAGGGACAATAATAATTACTGGGCACCTTCTGAGTACCAGACAATAAGCCTAATGAGGTTGATACTTTTTTTGCCATTATATATACATGACAGATAATAAAGGAATTATGTCTTAGATAGTACGTTATATAGCTAATCTTAGAAGATGTAGCCAAGTTAAAATGTCTGGTGGATTGCTCACCAAGAGTTGTGTGTGAATATCAGTGAAATGAAAGAGACTGTCTAGACTCCCTTTTTGGTTGCCTGATTTTTTTTAAATGTTTGTTTTAAATAATTTCTTCTTAATGACAAATTTGAGATTTAGCTATCCCTCAGTTAGATTTTGTTTTGTTTTGTTTTGTTTTGTTTTTTTTCGTTTTTCGAGACAGGGTTTCTCTGTGTAGCTTTGCGCCTTTCCTGGGACTCGCTTGGTAGCCTAGGCTGGCCTCGAACTCACAGAGATCCACCTGGCTCTGCCTCCCGAGTGCTGGGATTAAAGGCGTGCGCCACCACCGCCCGGCCTCAGTTAGTTTTAGGACCCCCTACAGGTACCAAAATCCTTATAAGTTCCTTGTGTTAAATTTTGACATGTGTAATAACCCATACAACCTCTTTTATACTTTAAATAATCTGTAGATTACTTCTAATGCCTAATAGATTGTAAATAGTTATATTGTATTGTTTACAGACTGAAGACAAGGTCACTCAGCTTGTACATGTTCAAGACTGTGGTGTGATCTTTCTTTTCTATAAATACTTTTATAATCTATAGTTGACTGCAATTAGTTGAGTTCAGATGTGGGACCCATGAGCCCAGAAGGCCAGCTCTAATACCCAACACATACTTCCTACTCGGGAATGATTAAACACCAATTTAAATTTCTTGGTATGACTCCCTAGATCTTTCTTCTTGCATATTCTGTAGTTTGGTGTTCTCAAAATCCTAAACAAGTCCAAATAAAAGTTTAAGCATGAAACTATGTAAGATAAAATTTGAGTTCCATGGTGCTGATTTTATTTTAAAATAATTATTTAAAATATATACACACACATATATACATATGCCTTATTGAAAGAGTTACAAGTGAAATGTCCATGTTATAGATGGAAATTAGATTAAAATTCTCCAGGAAAAAAAAAAAAAACTAAGACAAAAGTGACATATTGAATACTTGATTTGTTTTATCTTTTTGTTCTTTTATGTATGACTGATATCTTCTTATACATGAAAAATGTATTTTGAATGCACATGTCATAGGAAGCAGCTTGATTTGCATGAGAACTTAAAGTGATCATGTGGGAGGTTAACCATGTGATGTGGTACATAGATGAGCACCTTTGTACCAGTTTCACTTAAGCAGGCTTTATTCTTTTTTAGTGTGACCCCAATCTTCAGGTATTTAGCGTTTTTATCGATAACCTTGATACTCGGCTTCCCAGGATAGCACTGTTTTCCACGAGAACCATAAAAGCTGGAGAAGAGCTGACTTTTGATTATCAAATGAAAGGTATGGTTTTCAAGAGTAATTCCATTGGTATTGGTTTCAGTATGACAATGAAGGCAAGTCTTTGGCTCACAAACCAAACTAACAGCGAAGATAAAAGAAATCAGTGGGGTGGGGTGGGATACACAAAACAAATTATATGTGGAGAAGATGAAACACATTATGCTGTACTAATTTAAAAATCTTTAAAAATGAAAGAAATTGGAGATGGAGGAGTATCTGCCCAAAGCCTGACAGCTAAAGCTAGCACGTGGTCTACTTTCCAAGTCACTGTAGCCTGGTTTTTCTTAGGACTTCCATTTTGGAAGCTGACTTATCATAACATCTTTTCTCAATACAATTAGTATTAATAAAAATGTAGTGTTAGTAAAAATTAATAAAAAGGTTTTGAACTTTTACTAATAGATAAATATTGACAAGATTGAAAAGTATGATTTCAATTACATATGAATTATTCTAGTCCTTCTTGAATCTAGCTTTTTAAAGTAATTATATTGACTGTACTGTGATTGTATTTTCTATGAACAATATGCTTTATATGCTGTTCCTACTTGGCCTCACTGCCTGTGTTCTTGTGTTCTTAGTGGTATATAAAAAGAATAATTGTGCATTGGACTTTGTCAGTAAACTTTATCATGGCAGATATTCACATTAGCCTAAACCATCCTTTCAAGATAACTCAGAATGAATTGTCTCAGGATGTTCACATAAGTACAAAACTATTTTCCTTGAGAGTTAACCAATACCTTAAGAAAGTAAGCACCATTGCTAGCTCCAGGACAGCCAGGGTTACAAAAAGAAACCCTGTCTCAAAAAACCAAAACCAAACAAAACAGATTTAAAATCTGTTCTAAAGTATCTTTTCTTTATTTACTTGTTTGTTTGAGACAGGGTCTCACTATGCATCCCTGGCTGACTTGGAACTCACTGTGTAGACCAGGCTGGCCTCAAATTCACAGAGACCCACTTGCCTCTGCCTCCCGAGTGCTGAGATTAAAAGCATGCCTGACCATGCCCAGCTAAAATATCTTTTTTAAGATAAAGATTTATATGTGTATGTGTCCATGTGAATACGGGTACCCACAGAGGCCAAAAGGGGGACATGGGATCCCCTGGAGCTGGCATTTCAGGCAGTAGTAAGCTGCCTGACATGGATACTAGGAACTGAACTCTGGTCCTCTAGAGGAGCATAACTACTCTTTACCTGCTGAGCCATCTTCGAGCCCCTATTCTAAAACATCTGTTTCCCTCTCTGTATTTCCAGGTTCTGGAGAGTTATCTTCAGATTCTATTGACCACAGCCCTGTCAAGAAAAGGGTCAGAACTGAATGTAAATGTGGGGCTGAGACTTGCAGAGGTTACCTCAACTGAAACTTCAGGAAATGGAGATCATGAATGTGTTTTGTTTTGTTCTAAGAACTGAAAAAGTATTTGGGATGCCTTTCTATTATCAAGATTATATGTATATTAATGTACAACTTGTGTCTCAAGGTATTTACAAAGTCCATTACTGTTGCTTCTGAAAAGGACTGCAGGACCACATAAACAGAATATATTCGGTGGTTACATACTAAATATGGAAAGTGAACTATTTACAAATCACCATATACTTAGTTAAGAAATCTGAATAGACAAGTGTCCCCTTTAGTGTTTGAAAAGCAGTGAGAGAGTGGATGTTAGGAAACCTTTTCCCGTGACTCAGATAATTCAGTTTAGGCAAAGGTACAAATTTTATTTTGTTTTACTGTATTGTTCCTGCTTAATACTCACTGATCTTGTATTTGAGACAAAGAAGCCACACTGAATTTTTTTACTATATTTTCTACTTTTACATTAAAATATCGGCATCTTAATGATATATTTCAGGAATAAAAGTAAATATGAAAGATTTTCTTTCAGCTTGATCTCATTTTGAAGCAATAGATACCATTACAAAGATTGTATGTCTGAACCTGAAATTCTTAAAAGATTTTTTAATCCTGTTCAAGAAAAATCTCTAATCACCTTCTCTAGAAGTCCATAGTGGCTGGCCATTATGCTTCTTTGAAAGGACATAACAGTGTGACTAAGAGAACCCGTCAGAGTGCCAGGCAGGGTACATGAGTACAAAGTGAGCCACCGCATGAACGAGGTCCACAGAGTACCTCATCGAAACCGAAGAGCAAGATCCCGGGGAGCACCTGTCCCCAATGGCAGTGTGATTCACATCATGTTGTTATCACTGCCTGGCAGGTTTCACATTTCCTTTCTACTAAATTCAATTATTTTCGCATTTTCTGCATGTCCTTGAAAAGTAACCTATATTTGAACAGATGCTTGTTTTATACAAGATTTTTTAGATAAGATAAAACTAAGTTTGGCCAAAGTTACGTCTGATTGAACTTTTATTAACCTATGGGGATTAGATGGGATTTTTCCCTGTGTAGTAAAACCCAATAAAGAAAAAACTTACTTTCATCTTTCTGGGTCTGGGAGTTCTAATCATGGTGTCCAGTGTAAAGACCAAAACAAGGAAAAGAAATGCAGCAAATAATCCTTTTTTCGGTGTCCTGATCAAGATTTACCTAAGCTTACTGCTCTGGGCTTTAAAAGACTGTAGTAAGCTCAAGTAAAATGAAATGAATTCAGCACTTCCTGTATCTTCCTAACTCTTAACCTGTTTGGGGAGAAGCTACAATGTTATTCAGAGTATTGCCTTCACAAGACTGCTTGTTCACAATACATAGGATACACTGTTTGAGTATTTGGGGCCTCATTGTATGTCTGCTACCCAGAATTTTTAGAACGTGTCAAGAAAATGTATTTTTTAATTGAATTTCTTTTGTTTTTCTTTGAGAATCTTAAAAACATTCCAGGTCTGGTTTTCTCCTCCCCTCCACCCCCCAATGGCCAAGCTCACTCTGAAGTATTCTCAGGTTTAAAGATGAGATTTAAAAAAAAAAAAAAAAAAATCAGGTTTTGATTGTCTAGATATTTGGTTTTATTTACTATTCAGGCTAAAAGAAAAGAGAGGGCAAATGGGGAAAGATTATGTTTTGTCCTTACTAATAGAAATTCAATGGGTCCTTAAGATTTTGTGGGGTGAGGATATGTCTTGAGGTAGGGTATTGTGTAGCTTAGGCTAGCCTTGAATTTGCTGTGTGGCTGGGGATAGTCTTGACAGGAACTTTAGCAGGAGCAGAGGCTGGAACCATGGAGGAACACTGCTAACTGGCTTGCTCCCAGACTCATACTCAGCCAGCTTTCTTACACAGGCCAGGCATATCTGCCTAGGGATGCTACTGCCCACAGTGGGATAGACTCTCCTATATCAATTATCGATTAAGAAATTCCTCCACAGACATGATACAGGCCAATTTGATGGAGACAGTTCCTCAATTGAGGTTCTCTCCTCCTAGGTGACCCTAGTTTTGTCAAGTTCACGGCTGAAGCTAACTATGATAATATATATACATGTGTTTTGCATATGTGGATTACATGCATTTTGCATATGTGACAGGGTTCTTGATGTATCTTGGCATTTTGAAACTCCTTAACTTTCGATAATTTATAACCTTTGAAAAATGACGTAGCCACTACAATTCATCCTGCCTGTTTCTCTGCTATTTGTAATGAGGTTTCATCATATAACATAGTGCTCAGAAGCATGGACTCCAGAAGCCGTGCTTGTGTGTTTGAGTCCTGGCTTTGCCGCTTACTAGCTGTGTGAACTAATCTGTGTGCCTTAGTCTCATGCCTACCTCAGAGTGTGGCTTCATGGATTAAAGCTTTATAAAGTGGTTTTATCACAGAATAAACGCCATATATAAATATTTCCTGTTATTCTGTATTCAAAACATAAGCTGATCAGGTAGATTGATCTAAATCTACTCTATTGTTCTTAGCTCTCTAACTCACTTTAGCCAGTGTTCATGCCAGGCGTAAGACCTAAAATGTGAACATTACAGTTATAAAATGTTAGTGATATGTTCAGAACAATGTGCAGGCATGTTTTGAATGCTTGCCTTGGATCATGAAATATCCTATTAAAACTAAAGTCTTGGGCTGAGATTATGGCTCAGTTCAAAAACAAAAAAAGTCTTGAGTATTAGTATATATACAAATGCATAGTTATATATACATGTATTCTAAGTCATATCACCCAGTAGGTTGGGTCCAGTAATTCCTGATCTAATTGCCATGTAGCATAGTGATGATCTGTGGCATTCCGTTTAATCTGCACATTATGAGACTCCATTTAAACTTATTTTAAGTGGTATGTCTACATCTTTTTCCTTGATGTATAAAATGTCAGCATAGTAAAGTGCTTAGGAAGATGTTTATAAAGCTTTATTAAATCTATACACATCAATACAAAAGCATTGTACTTTAAGGCAATTTAACAATTGACAGAGCTTATATATGTTAACCATTCTAAATATTTTCCTTTACATTCTAATTGTTGTAGTTTCAATTTATCATTATATTAGCGAAAGTTTTATTTATTGAAACAAGTTCTTGCTAAGTTGCCCAGGCTTGACCTCCAACTCAAGTCCTTCCTTTCTCAGCCTCTAGAGTAGTTAGAACACAGCCTTGCCTAGCCCCTTGGTGGTTTTTAAGATTTTTGTTTTATGTCTGTTTAGCCTGCCTGTATGTATACGTACCACACGTGTGCCTGGATCCCCCAGAATGGAGTTACAGACAGTAATGAGCCACCATGTAGGTGTTGGAAATCAAACCTGGGTCCTCTTCAAAAAAACAGCAAGTGCTCTAAACTGCTGAACCATCTCTCCAGCCCTGCCCCCAGGTCTTTATGTGATATAATATCTTTTGAGGTTTCCCCGTGCTATCCACTTACTTTAATAGAGCCACCGTTATTCTAGACTGCTTGTCATGATTCAGCATATAGTGGATCTTGGTGGAATGGTCTGCTTTTACTTGAAGAGATGTATTCTGCTGTGAAGTAAAATACTCTTGTTTATCAGATCCAGTTGCCTGGTGGTGTTCCATTTTTGTCTTATTGATTTTCTGTCTATATACTGTTTCTCTAAGAGAAGCATGTTAAAATTTTTATATTTGTGTATTATCTGGTCTCTCTTATGGAGGGCAGTACTGGGGACTGAACCTAGGGCTTCATACATGCTAGGCAAAAACTTACCATTCCACCTTGGTGAGTTAGACACTTTGTCCAGGATAGTATCTGCTCTTAACTATAACCTCTGGCTTTAACATATTTACATTGTCCTTTTACTTCAACTTCCTATCACTTGAATTACATTTTCTGTAAACAGGATACAGTTATGTTTTTCCCTGAGTCTCTCTTTTTATGAATGTCTTTACATCATTTGCATTTAATGTGATTATTAATGTGTTCAGATTTAGCTCTACCATCTCATGCAACACTGGTTTTGACCCTGTTTCTCTTTTAGGTCATTGGAGCATTCTTTAGTATTCCACTTTGATCTGATGTATCACCTTGTATAGTTTTAGTGGTTGCTCTAACAGGTGTGTCTAACCTGCAAACCATATATATACATCCACAGCTGTGAATGTTGCCCAGAACATTTGTGTATGACACTGTGTTGCACCAACAAAAGATTGGACATTCTTGTTAGAATGAGGGTTTTAATTCTTAAATGTCTAAGAGTGATCATTTCCTTTTTTCAACAACTATACTCTGACCTGTTGCCAATTTTCCATATAAATACTGTAAATGCTCTGGTTTAGGAAGCTCAGCCTCTGGAGTTGAGGGGATTTCAAAATCGGAGGAGCTCTGCGAGTCCACATGTGAGTTAGTTAGTAATGTTTTCTCCTCAGGTGGGGATTTCCTGCCACTCACAGTGTCTGGTTCTCCAGTGTGAGGATCTCCATTTACTTCATCTCTGCTTTTCAAATCACAGTAAGTATCCTGTGGACAAAGTGCATTCTGTTCCATTTGAGAGGCGGAAATATTCTCTTTGCTTTTTGGTCTGTAGGCACCCTTGTTTAAAGATGTACTATCCCCACCACTTCTCTCTTGGGAAGATAACAAGACAGTATCACACTGGCTGTCCCAGCCTTGACTTCCTTGGTCTGTTATGTGTGTTGACTGAGATGAATTCTGGGAAGAGATGTGAGTGGATTCTCCATCAGAGTCACTGAAAAGCTTTGGTGAGTCACTGAAAAGCTTTGGTGACTGAGATCCCCCCGTTTCTATAGAGGAAGGTAAGTTTTCCAAACACTCATCTGTGATATCATCTTTTCTTTTGAAGAATACTTCCCACTGTGGTGTGTCTGCATCAGCATTTTGCTGGGGGAGTGTCATAGGGCCCAGACCTGCCTGCAGTGAAGGTAGGGTTTCCAGCTCTTCTCCACTGTCACTGTTAGATTCTTCACAGTCTACAAAGTTGCCCAGAGAAACATTCTGCACACTGTCTGCTGTGTAGCACGCAGGACTCTGTCTCAGCTCAGACTGGCCTTGTGGTAGTGCCTTCATTGAAAATACCTCAGGGTGAAGGGTTAGCTGGTACGGAATTTTGTGCCTTAACGGTGTTGGTAGAGGGTCATCGAAGAGATCATCTTCCTCCTCTGAAACAAGCAAAACAGGCATGTATGGAACAAGGGAAAGAACACTTCACTTCAGTGAAAGTTGGAGCTGTAGCATTTACCTGTTTTAAATCTTGGAATTTTATAAAACACAGGTGCCAGTCTGCAAAGAGAAATTAAAAGGCTGCTATGTGTCGAGAACATAGGTCAGTACTTCTCAAATCTGAGTGACCACTAGACTAACAGGGTGACCTGTTTTTTTTCTCTTAAAGGATTTTGTTTTCAATTATATCTGTGTGTGTATCTGTGTATGAGTACGTGCCCATGAATGAAGTGCCTGAGAAGGCCAGCAGTGTTAGATTCCTGGAGCTGGAGTTGGAGGCAGTTGTGAGCCAACTAACATGGATGCTGATTTAATACTTCCTGTGTGTGGACAATCCATGGAACATTGTAAGAACTAAGGGATATGAAGGCCTGGTCAATAAACTTGTAAAAAATGATCTGTAAACCTACAAGACTAGTTCTACACCCTCTGCCCTTGAGCCTTCTTTGTGCGTGAGCCACCTTTCTTGATAAGTGTAGCTCCAACCCCTCATCAAATAAGCCTCTCTTTACAATAAATGGAGGCCATCGCAGAAAACCACAACTGAACACAGTGCAGACATCAACGGACCATGAAGAGCACAGCCCCAACCGATACATCTACATCATAGCTTCTGCATCTATGGCTCAGGCAGTATACTACTGGGGAAGAGGAGACAGAAAGACTGTAAATAAGCCAAAATAGAAGTCTGCTGAGAAAGTCTCTCCTAGAAATGTCTGTATAAACAAGATGGGAACATTGACAATATGAATCGACATGTTAATGTGGAAGGGGGAAATTTTCCAGAGTTCCAACCCTAGACAGAACTACAAGCAACTAATGACTGCTGGGAGGAGAATTAGCCTCTCCAGGGATGAGCCCCCTTACTAGTCATCCAATGCAAAATTATCAGCCCTGAAACCATACATACAACAAAAACAAGTTGTACTTCTGTATGTTTGTGCATATACATATGTCCATGTGTATATGTGTAATAATAAAAGGTTATCAAATTGGGGAATATGGGAGGGGCTAGAGAAAGGAAAAGGAAGGAAAGTCATGATCACATTTTAAAACCCACTCAATAAAACCAATGACATGTATGGACTGAAATAGATAATTGCTTATAAAATATACCATCCTTAACTCTAGTTCCAAGGCCAATGCCTTCTGACTTTTGAGGGCACCAGGTACACATGCACAGATATACATGGGAGCAAAATTCATATACATTAAAAATAAAATCTCAGAAGTAATTTAAAGTTAGATTCTAAATGAGTAGAAATACAGAGGTTAAAATGGAAAACAGGCCTGGGTTCAAATCCTGGCCCCATCATTTCCTGCTAGACTTTTGGGGGATTTTCTAAATTGTTAAATTGTCTAAATTCCAGTGTTCTCTTTGGTAAAGTCAGACTGACATCACTTCTAAGTTTGTTTACAGGTTTAGCTGTAATATGTGTAGAAGATGGAGCCTAAGACTTGCCCTATATAAGTGTTCAATAAATAGCATCCTTCTCCAGTAAGGATTCACTTACGGCACTCCACCGAGGGATGGAAATCTGAAGTCGTAACCACCAAGTGTGGCTGCTATAAGCCAACAAGGCTTTGCTCAGAATCTGAAGTTCTCGTTTCTAATCAGAGCTTATCTGTGTTCTTAACTCCAAAACAAACTAGCAATATAAGAAGGTAGGAATGAATGGAGAAGCACTCTTTGTATAACATTCCTGCTCGGTCTGCTCAGAACCGAAGGCAACCAAGTCTCTTCAGCATCTGCTAAAGCCCTATCAAAAACATTCCAGGGTGGGTGACAACACAACCCTCCTTACAGCCCACACCAGTCACAGGGCATATTCTGGGAAGACCAGAACCATTCTTACCTGAGTCTAGATGGATTGTTCTGGTTCTCTTCAATTTTCCAAGTGGTTTGTATTTTGGTTCAGCACTTTGGGAAGATCGGCACAGAGGCTTTAAACTGACATAAATCAGAATATTTGACTTTTCCTTTTGGGAAAGCTGCTGAAGCATAAACATCACTTATAGAGATTAGAACAAAACCATAGGGAGATCATGTGAGCATTTGTGGGAGAAGGGGGAAATATTTAATAAAGATCCTGCAACTTAATAAAATGGCCAATAGAAGCACTTACAGACACGTAGTAGATACTGATCATCTACAGAGGGAACTGCCTTAGCAGATTAAAGCCAAACTCGAATCTTGGCTCTTAGAACGCTAAGAGCGTGACCAAACACTATCCCAAAACAGGATTAAGTAACCCATTGACACCATCTAGCATCCAGAGAGTATAGGAGAGGTGCTTCTTCCCTGTTTAATGGCACGCACTTACCTCTTGCAAGAATCCTACAAATCTGATCAGATTCCAGAGCCACAGGCTGAAAGCTAGCACACACAAAATCTGAAGGGGGTCCACCCTCCCCGAGGGCTACACTACCTACTCTCCTGCCAGGTTGCTAGAAGCCTTGAGGATTAGAGCCAACAGAGCAGATAGTGACAGCCATGAAGCTCCCAACCTGACTATAGTCACCTTTGTTCTCGTGTCTGATAGTCCCTGGCTCCGTCCCATGTGACCCCTCTAGAATCTGCTGTGACTGCTTCTCTCTGGAGCCATTTCAGGCATACTCATTAGGTAACTTTGCCAAGTGAGGTTCACTCTCCACCCACCCACCTACCTACAACAGATTGCCCAATAGAAATGCAAGATAGAATATACATTTTTAACAAGCAATCCAAATGATTCTAAGTATATTCCCATTTAAATCTACAAGACAATCTTCAACCTCAGCTATCAGGATCAAGTTCTTAACGCTTGCCTTGCTAGCCAGCATGTTACTTCCTTTACACTTCCATGCTTTCTGGCTTCTAACAAGTCTACTAAAACTGCTGTGAGCAGACACAAATCGCCTCATTACCAAGCTAACCAGAGACATCACAGTCCCAGCACTAGGTCACTTTAAAAAATTTTGTTTCTATTTCTGTATCTATTCATGTGTCCATCACATGTTTGAGGTGGATAGGTTCCATGGAGGCCAGAAAAGGGTATTGGGTCCCCTGGAGCTGAAGTTAGAGCCAATTGTGCACCTCTGGATGTGGGTACTGGGAACCAAACTCGGGTCCTCTGGAGAGCTTTTAACCACTTAGCCATCTCGCCAGCTTAGCAGTCTTAAGAATTGCTCACCAGTAACTTCCACTTTCCCTCCTCCTGCTATCAGAACTCGCTTTCCAGCTCTTCCTTAGTTTGCTACTGGAGTTCTGGCCTCAGCCTGGCTATCATTCCTCATGCTTCCCTGGTGATTTTTGTCCTTTTCAGTTACTGCCCTCACTGACAACTAGAAATCTGTGCCTTCCACCTGTCTGGTCCCAAGAAATCTTTTTTCCCCAAAGTCTGGCATTTAGACAAAAGCTAACATCCCCTCAGGGACTTGAGAAAGTAGCTTTGACATGCTAAACAAAGCATTGTCCTTATCTCTGGCAAAAGGGACCTTTGGCTCTTCCATTAACATACACCCTGTGGTGCCTACTAGCATATCAAGCTTCTAGGCACCGTCAATCCCTACACTTCAAAGACCTCCACCCCAGTTTATAGGTTCCTCTCTGCCCAGGTACCCCTTCCTTTTAAAACCCTGGAAATACCCCACCTCCAGCTCCTGTCTTGCTCTCCGCTTTCCCAAGAGACAGCCTTGGCAGTTTGGAATACACTTCCCTTTTTCTCCACTGAGTGGATCTGGGTTTCTTTACTGCACCTATTTCATTCTCCACCTAGACCTCTCTCCATAGCCTAGAGCCTGTTTTCCATCTATCTAAGCTCAGTGCTCTATGTCCTCATCAGTTTCAGGCGGATTCCCTGACACCAGGCTAATTTCCTTCATGGCCCTGGCAGCTTGTGCGCATGTATGCCTCCATACACCAGCCTTTCCACAGAACCCTAAAACTCAGTCAGCGTGGATCTGCCCCACATAACTGTTGAGTTGGCACAAAAAAAATGTTTAATGAATGGACTTAGCCAGGCAATGGTGGCACACGCCTTTAATCCCAGCACTTGGGAGGCAGAGCCAGGTGAGTCTCTGTGAGTTCAAGGCCAGCCTGATCTACAAAGTGAGTTCCAGGACACAGCCAGGACTGTTACACAGAGGAATCCTGTCCAGGAAAAAAAAAAAAAAAAAAAAAAAAAAAAAAAAACAGAAAACAAAACAAAAAATGAATGGACTTAAAGACGTTATGCCAGGAGTGGTAGCACTTGTCAGTAATGACAGCACCTGAGAGGTGGAGGCAGGAGGGTCACAAATTTCAGGCCAGCCTGAGCTGATTAATGAGATGGCAAGATGGCTTAGTGGGTAAAGGCAACTGCTACTAAGCCTTGAGGACATGAGTTCAGTCCCCTGGACCCACCTGTTGAAAGAGAACTTTTTATACAAGGTGTCCTCTGACCTTGATGACATACATCAACAATAACAGTAACTCACATACACGTGCATGCACACACAAAAATAAATGCAATTAAAAAAATAAAAGACAAAGCTGGGCAGTGGTGATGCACACCTTTAATCCCAGCACTTGGGAGGCAGGGGCAGGCAGATCTCTGGGAGTTTGAGGCCAGCCTGGTCTACAAAGTAAGTTCCAGGACAGCCAGGGCTGTTACACAGACAAATCCTGTCTTAAAAAACAAAAAACAAAAAAGTGATAATAGTAAATGACAACTATTGCACTGCCTTGCTCTCGAGTTTCATTCACTCATTCCATAGATACCTTGACTGCCTGCCTACTGGCTCTTTGCCAAGTGCTTTTCATAGTTCTCTCTAGATCCCTGAGAACCCCAACATGTAGGCATGAATGAACATTCCTATTGTTTTTCCATTGGCACAGAGGTTGCTGTTTTAGCCAGCAAGTATGACTCTGCACTTCTCTGGTAGTAGCCTGGCCGCTCAGGCCACGGCCTGGCGGGAATTCTGTCCCTGTAGGTACTGACTATGTAGCTGCTGCCAAATATAGCTTTTAATTAACTCTCTATCTTTCTATTTATCAATAAGACTTGGGAGTCAAAGGCTGGGATGAAAACTTGCTAGCTCAGAGAGGTTGAGTAGCAGCTAGCTGACCTTCTCTCTTTACCTGCATCTCCGAAAGAACTTCCTTCTGCTCCTCCAAATAAACCCAGCTACAGTAAGTCCCCCACTACTTCCTGTGCATCTCTCTATCTTCTTACAGACACCCTATTATTTTCTATGATTACTTTCTGTCAATTAGTTGCTAACTCAGCCTCCTGACCAAGGTTGATTTTATTTAATTAATGCAGACTTGGGGTTCACAGTGTGATCGAATATCCCACAACATATTCCTAATTTGTTGATTTGCTGGTTAGTTATGATTAGTTCAGAAGCAATCTGGTCAAATGCACATTGTAAGCAATTGGTGAACTTTGTTCCACTTAGGACAAACTGATGTTACTTGCACATTCTGCTCACTAGAAATGCCAGAAGAAATGGAAATAGAGGGGAAGCTCAAAAAAATGTTATGGGCTGGAGAGACGACTCAGAGATTAAGAGCACTGATTGTTCTTCCAGAGGTCCTGAGTTCAATTCCTAGCAACCACATGGTGGCTCACAACCACCTATAATGAGATCTGGTGCCCTCTTCTGGTGTGTAAGCATACACACAGAACACTTATACATAATAAAATCTTTAAAAAAAAATTTTAAATGTTACAATAGAAATGGGTTCTCAATCTGTAAGTTTTCAAGCACAGCACTCCCATGCCTCCCAGCCATAACTACCAATAGCAATAGAAGCCCCCAAACAGAAATTACTCACACGTCCATGACCTTATCCACGGTGAGGCCTACAGGAATGACATTTGGATATGCATTTGCCGGACAGATGTAGCTCAAAAAATCTTTAATCTAGAAGGAATATAAAGTGCATCAACTATCTCTATGATGGGAAATTGAGGTGTTAGTCCATTCACAGTTCCTAATACATAGAACCAGTCTAGACGCCTCTCCACAGGTGAATAAATAAAGAGGTGACATACAGACACAATGGACTTTTATCCAGCCATAAGGAACAATCTATGTCACTTGCAGGAAAATGGAT